CAACTCCTCTGCACTTCCGATTTCTCCCAATATGGGGACAGGAGACTTGTCAGTCAATAAATGGGAAAACACAGTAACTGGTGTTACTTTTTTGAAAAAGTAACTCAGATATTTGCTTGTAAATTAAAAAGTAATGCGTTACTTTACTAGTTACTTGAAAAAAGTAATCTGATTACATAACTCGCATTACTTGTAATGCGTTACCCCCAACACTGCTGATATATGAAGGTCCTCGGGCCTAAGCCATGTATAAAGGTTCCACGCATTGTGTTATTGTAGTAAGCATCTGAGCAGAGATCAGCCATGTCTCAATCCAGCAAACCTGTTCTGTAACCGGTTTTAAACACTGAACAACTAAATCATTAGGTGCATTTATTAACTTACTGAACCGACACAGATAAGTTTGACTGTTTTACTTTCAGACTCGCAGATATTATTTAAATGTAATTTTTTTAAATGTTTTGACACTTATGTCACACAACTTTGTCTGAATGTCATCTCATCGAACAAAATCTCAAACCAGCAGACATCTGAAAAAAAAAAAAAGGTGCTTGAGTTCTTCTCAGAACTAACTCCTGAAGTGTCCTTGCAGAGTAAATAACATCCATAAAAAGCTTTTTTTTCCTCAACAGTATATCTACTATTTTATTGTTCTTTTGTGAAACATTTTGATCAAAATGCATGGCTGTGCTTAAAATCTCTCTTAAAAACAAATGCCACTTGGTTTGATATGCTGTTTATTGAAATAACATCTATGTAATTTGAAGTGTCCAACAGACGATTTAGGGTTTTATTGTTTTTTTGTTGTTACATTTGGACAGCAAATTTTATACAATTCTCTCTAAAATAGCAGCCTTTTATTGCAAAAAAAAAGAAAACAATTTTTTGAAGCAGAAAATCTAACAGTGATAACCCCCCCCCCCAACAGTAATTTGGTCCTTTACTCTTGGCTCAACACAAAACATTCATTTGTTTGACACGCATCTAGTCACATGATACTCTTTACAAATCTGTCTTTAAAAAAACAATTGCAAATATTGACCAAAGCTTGATTACACCACACTAACCACACTGTCAAGTCAGTACAACAGCAGTAAGAGCATCATTGGCTCATTGAGAACAGGTGATGGGTAAAAAAAATCTAAATGTATGCAAGTGTTACAGAAAATCTCCGAATGGCACATTTGTAGGATGATTACACAGGAATCGGCTCACTTGGCACATCGTTCAGGCTTGATGTTGTGGAACACTGCTGATCTTAATGGATCAGGTCTTGAAGAGCAGATGTACAATCATCTGTTCCAAGAACACAATGAGAAGAAAAATTACAAAGAGCTGGCATGGTACAGAAATAAGTGATACTGGCAAGGGCAAGTTATTACCTGTGGCATGATTATTAGCTTGGCAGTAAATAAAAGTCACATTAGAAGAACTTTGGCATTATTCATGCAAATGTTAATGTAAACTAGCTGTTATCTATTCTTTACCATTGCATGTGCCTTGGAAATGAGGAAAGACCCTACTAAGCTTGCTCTGACTCTTAAAAAACAATACCATGTTATAATATAGAAGTACTTTTCATTGCTTTCTAATAACCTCACCACACAGAATAATTAATATTATTAAATCTACATAACATTTACAGCAAGCAGCTCAATGTGTACAACTTGAAGAACCTGCTACAGAATAAACCTTAAAAAATCAGTTCCATAACATAACATTTTTCATTCAAATGGAATTATAACATTCAAGTTGAACCCTGTGAAGTAGCTCTGAGGTGCAAATAAATAATGGCGAAGCAGCGAGCAGATAGAAATAACTTGTGTCCAATTTCATAGAGCAGAATCAGGGACAGCCGACCGCTCGAACAGTTAAAGCAGACTTTAATGGCTCACAGCATTACGGCAGACTCTAGCTGCAGACTGATGAGTCCTTTAACCCGGCAAGACAATGACCAAACCATAAGCGGCCGTTTTTCAGACTAGATTGTATTCCTTCAGTGTGAGCTGCAAGATGGTGTCCTTGACAGCAGCGAACACGAATCGGATGTTTTCGGTGTCAGTGGCGCAGGTGAAATGAGAGTAAATGATTTTTTCGGAGTCTGGATTCAGGTCGACAAACATCTGCAGGATGAATTCCCTTGCGGCTTGAGCGTCTCTCTGGGGTCCTTAGAGAGAACAATAAATCGATCTTGGTTAACTTGGTCATCCGGAAACTGATCAGAGCTTTTACTTAAAATAACTTCTAACCTGAAGTATGAACAATAATATAAGCAATGCTTTAGCAGCGCAATGGAAAGACCATCAGTCCATCAGCTAATAAACACATCATGATTGATCATCCTTTTCAAACCTCACCGTATAGATTTGGAAAAACAATATATCACAATATTTTTAAACTTACCGTCATATTCAGGAAAGTAATCTACAAGATGTGAATACATTATTTTCTCTTCCAAAAGGTCTTTCTTGTTCAGAAAAAGAATAACTGATGAATTCTGGAACCAGGGGTATGTTATTATCGTCCTAAACAATGCTTTGCTTTCCTCCATTCGATTCTGTGGGGGAAAATAACATAACAGGGCCATTTCAGTGGTTATTTTAGTCCTGCTTTACTTCAGCAATCAACACTCCGTTCACTGCTTCAGACAATTTCAGGGGGAAAAAAATAAAATAAAATGATTTCATTCAAACACTGCTAAAGTGAGCACAGCTTGCTATTTTAAGTTCAGAATGTACAGTGCTCTCAACTAATACTGGCACCCTTGGTTTACCCCCACTTTCAATTGTTTCACTTCAATGAAAAGTTAAGAATTTTGTGAATTTTTTGAATGAAAGACCAAAAAGATAAATGATGCGGATTTATTTGCACAGCCGCCTTTGCTCATATTTTCCAAGGGTGCCAATATTAGTGGAGGGCACTGTAGTTTGTTCTCTACTGGTTACATGATCACATCATTAACTCGGAGACTGTTTTTATATGATCAAATTAATTACAAATAAGAATTTCATCAAAAGTTTCATTTAATGACTTTAAAAATGTCAAGTGGTGTAGCCATTAAGTAAAATATTATTACATTTTTTTTCAAAATGTGTTATTTAAAAGAAATTTGATACAGATGTAGACACAAAAGTTTACTTTTTAATAAGTATACTATTTCTGGTTTTATGTTTTGTCACATGTCAACAAAAGGCGTTCTGCATGTTGGTTACACTTCTGAGGATATTTGCAGATGTAATCTTTTTTTCAATTATTAGTAATATATTTTAACGCTGCTTCACTAGTTATTTTATTTAAAAAATAATTTCAAAAGATTATACCATACAATTAAATGTTTTTCCCCCAAGAAATTTACACTTTTAATAAGACATTTTTCTTTGCTACAATCTTGATTGTAGGATTGTATACAAAAAATAAAAATAAAAAAACAAACTGAAGTACCTCTTAAAATACATTTTTAAAAACTATAAATCAAATTTATAAAATGTAAAAAAATCATATAATACAGTGAATTCATCTGTGCTAAAAGGCTTATGCATCAAGCCATCATGCAAAATAGCGTTTCTACAAACATTTCAAGTGGTTAGTAACAACTTTGGCTCCCTCTTCTGGTACTTGATTTACCTCATTGTCAGACTCAACGAGAACTTGGTCATATTCACTGAGGGCTACCAGGAACATGATGGAGGTGACATTTTCAAAGCAGTGGATCCACTTCCGCCTTTCTGACCGCTGCCCCCCTACATCTACCATCCTGATGGAGAAGGAGAAGTCATGAGTTTGAAGAGTCAAACACTTACAGTCTGGAAACATGATGGCATCTGAGCACTGGGCTGAACTGGATGAACTGAGCATTTTGTATCAATGCAGTACTAGATGAACTAGAAGAGTAACTATAAAGAGAAGATTTACCTGAATATGACACTCTGTAGATCGAAGGGGTATTCGATGATCCCTGTAGTGGGCACTCTGACCCTGAGCACATCTTGCTGGGTGGGAAGATAGGAAGGGTTGGCAATGCGATCCAGTGAATTTAGATAACTGTGGACAAACGGTGAACATTTCACAGTTCTGAAGCATCTCTATGATTTGTTACTGCAATACCTGTGAAACCTGTCAAGAACATGTCTGAGTAGCATTTTACCTCAAAATAAAAAAAATAACAAATGTACTTCTAGATAAAGGACGCATATTTTTGCAACATTAGGACTTTTTGTATTGTGATAATATTTGCAAGCTAATTAAGCAAATATCCCATTCTCAGTATACATACATATACTGTACATATACACACAAATATACATATACACATACATATATATATATATATATACACATACATACAGGGACGGACTGGGACGTAATTTCAGGCCGGGAAATCTCACACTCATCCAGGCCATCCTAAATACCAACAACAAATTCTAAAAACCACAGACAACCATATTATTTGTATGGCCAGCACATAAAAGGTCTAAATCCTACGGAAGAGGATTAGGGACATGCAATAATAAAAAATAAAACCATCTCGATATTAAAGTCATTATAATGCGAGATTAAACTCGTTAAATTTCAAGAAAAAGTCTAAATTAAATTTGAAGAATAAACTCATTAAATTACGAGAAAAAAGTCGTGTTTTTGAGAAAAAAAGTTGAAATTAAATGTTGAGAATAAACTCATTAAATTACGAGAATAAAGTCGAAATAAAATGTTGAGAATAAACACTCGTCTCATGTTCATCTGATCTCGTTGGACAGTGTTAGTCAGCGTCTGCAGTGGCTCAGGTCCTAAAGCACAATGCTCGTGGATGTAGCATATGATGCGGCCGACTAGAGTTAGAATTCGCCTTTTGCCGAACTCGCTCTTCTTCCTTTTTTCATCACATATCACATTGGATGCTATTTACGCTAAGTGAAAGTAGATGCAATTTACACTAAGTGAAAATATTGATATATTCTATTTACAATAAGTGACAGCAGCATTTTTAGCGATGTGCTATTTACACTAAGTGAAAATAGCGATTCTATTTACGCTATGTAAAAGTATAGCAGATCTTTGCAATAAGTGTAAATAGTAATTAGATGCCATTTATACTTCGAAATAGTGACAGATACTATTTGCACCTCAGTATTGTTGTACATTAACAGGATGCAATAATAACAGTGTAAATTATTTTCTTTATTAAAATTATTAAATAGACGCTGCCTTTGTTACAACAAAGCCCTCCTTATAGCCTACCTACACCTAAACCTACCCAATTAATACATCATTATTAAACACTCGTTAGGCAATTGATTTTCACTTTTCCGATGTGATATGTGATGAAAAAAGGAAGAAGAGCGAGTTCGGCAAAAGGTAGATTCGAACTCTGGTCGACCGCATTATATGCTACATCCACAAGCATTGCTCTCTTACAACTTTTTCCTCGTAATTTAATGAGTTTATTCTTATCTTATTTCGACTTTTTTTCTCAAAATTTAACAAGTTTTTTCTCGAAACACGACTTTATTCTCGAAATTGAATGACTTCATTCTCAACATTTTATTTTAACATTTTCGCATTATAATGACTTTAATCTCGAGATGAGATTTTTTATTATTGCTTGGCCCTAATCCTCTTCTGTAAAATCCTTAGTTTGGGGCCCGTGGAAAATAATTAAAGGCTTGAACTGCACCTTAACTTCCATTTTCCTTTTTTTAATTTTCACCAATATCTCTGTCTCTCCCTTTTTTTCTTGTACTTCTTCACCAGCAGGTCTACTGTTATGAACATAACTGTGTCCACCTTGTTGCAAAACAACCACCTCATTACAATTTATAAGCACAGAATGCTATTTATCCTAATATGACTTAAATACCCTATATTTCCTACAAACATATTAAAACATTTTCTAAAGTGCCTAAATGTCAAAATTAGTACAATATCGTTATTTAAAATTCCTAATACTGAACACACTATTGCATTATTAGGCATTATTATGACTTATATTTTTGTGTTGCTGTCTGCTCTAGCTCCCTCTCTACCTATACAATAAATCCATGTGAATATCTGTCTGCTAAATTGATTAATATAACTTTACAATCGATAATTAAATGATTTCTTTTAGCACAGTATTCTGACTGATGATAATAATGGGGTGCTCCTGATAGCCTAACAGGTTCTAGCAGTTTAATTCTCAAAACTACAGTAGTTTACAGATGAAACTGACTTGCATTTGAAGCCCTGAACAGGTCAGTAATTTCGCAACATTCACTGCTGCTTAACTTTGGGAAAAAAAAAAAACAACAACACCAGGGCAGTGGGTCAAATTAGCCGCTAGGCCACAGGGAATTCTCCCGGTGCTCGCAATGGCCAGTCCGGGCCTGTATATATAGCATAGCAGCATAACATTTAATTGAAATTGTATAATTAAACTGGAGCAGGTGCTTGATTGATCTTAATGATCCTAAAATGGGCTTAACTTTCTTCATGGAAAAAAGAATCTGGTAATAATACTTATACGTATTAATTTGTCAGAAACTTAAAATGCAGATTCCCAACTACTATTGGCAGGTATGACAGTCACATTGGTTCAGCTTACTGATTAATTCATGACAATAAACATAAATCCTAAGACAATGGTTTATGTAGATTGGAATATAAAATATGCTAAACATTTCATATGGAAGCTCATAGTTACTCAGTATTATGGCATGTTGGCTTATAGCATTTAGTTACATTCGCAAAAACTCACTTTACTCACTGTTTGTCAGACTAAAATTCAGAGGAAGAATATTGCTCAGAGAGATTTCATGTAAGTATTAACTTTGTTACAAATACTGACATAGCAATAGTATTGAGCTACTAATATTAATTTGAATATCAGCTCAGACCATTCGGTCTTGGGTGAATTTGATGAAAAATGTTTTGATAGAACTTGTGAGCGCAGACTTTGGTCTCTTGGCAAATCTGACTGCAGTGAGACGTTGAGATATTTTCTAAAACTCTATAGAGGACACATGTTAGATTACTGATCAATAATCTTTTTCAAATGAGAAAAAAAGTCAGAGAAGCAGTAGTCTTCAGTAAAAGCCACATTTGTTCTCCATTTAATCTCACTGCTGTTTAGGGGAAACTTATGAGACATTAGAGAGACCTCACTGTGATCCTTCTTTCTTATGGAAGGTGACAGGTTTAAGATGCACTCACTATTTTGTGGAATCTGAGAGCTGGTATTCTCTCCTCCGGTCATAACACTCCTGAATTCCTGGGTCATTCCATAAACTCCTGATGGCATCTACATAGGGGCTGACGAACAAGACGACCTTCTCTACGTCTACTTCTCTGACAATGTTTGCATTGGCCTGTGAGGGGAAAAGTAGTGCATTTAAAACAGTGTTAAAAAGCTGATGCTTCAGCCAATGCAGCGATGCCAAGTCCATGGTTTTTCCACGGAATTGGGCTACTTTTATAATGTTGAAGCGAAACCCCCAGCTCCCTGGAAAGCAATTTCGACCAAGGTGGAACCCTCTTAAAGGAGATTTTTGACCCCCTGGAATGTGAATTTTGATCGATTTAGATTTAGCCATTTTCCCTAGAATGCGATTGTGCTAGTTTTTTTGCCATGATTGGGCTAGTTTTGATTACCAATGGGGCTGGTTTTGCTACTCAGACCTGGCAACCCTGAGCCAATGGGACCCAACCAACAGCAGACTTCGTGTCATGTCCTAGCCCACTTATACATAACCTAGTTACAACTTTATTGACCCATTTTACTTGAGACTCAAATTTGGTAAAGTTCTCCATCTCACTACACCTGACCCAATAAGATGGAACTTGATTGAGGCTGTGTTCTATAATATTTCAACTACGCACAATGGAAAATAGGTTTGCCTGTGGGGGTATCTACAAATGGAAAAAAAACTAGATGGCACATTTCTGCAAGGCCATAAAATGGTATAATTAATTTCATAGCTTGGAGGGGTAATTGTGTTAAGCCTGGGCAACACAATTAGCCAAAGTGATTGTGTATCTCTCAGGGTATTTGATTCAGTGTTTGACCTACTTCATGGCAAAGTTATTTGAGTGTCAACTGCTCTGACACATTGAGCCACGACTCTCATGCAGACAATGCATCATCAATCAGACAATCACAACATTCCCCTGACTTCGCTACAACATTTTTTCTCCTCTGAATTATCATAACTATAGAAGATGCAAAACGTTGATGCTGTGTAACATTTGTAGCACCAATAACATTCAATAGCATCTATTTCTTCACCATGAAAGCTTTAGCTTGCACTTTAAAAGTTCAAAGACCTGTGACCATGTCAAGGTAAAGAATCCATAACAAATCCATAGAAACTTTAGTTTAGTAAGAGTGGCTGGGTATGACAAATTACTGTACCTTATTACGTTCATATTTGTAGTGGATCTGGAGAGTATCCATTGCCCGTATCATGGCCTGCAAAGATGTGAAGATGTTTTGGTAGACCAGCTTGGTAAAGCTTCTCCGGTCCTCTTCCGAGTAGCCTGAGCCATGAATGATTCTTATCTGTTTAACAAAGGTGCTTTTCCCACTCTCTCCAGTTCCTGAAAGCGGAAACATGTGAAAAGTGAAGGGTTAGCAGTGGAAAATCAGATTCGTTTGAACTAATTGGTTTGTCTGGAAGGTTCTTGAATGGCAACGATTCACAGACTCACTTGGATATCACTCCAGATAAATTCCCAGTACACGTGCAGCATTTTCTGTTCATAAAGTAGACCAGTCTAATTTGAGTCCAAAAAGTGAGACTGAATACCCCTTGACAAACTGCTATGTTGGTCAGACTAGTTTTTAGACACAGTCTTAACATAGTGGCTATGTTTATGCTACTGGCCCCAGCTTTGACCAGGTAATGTAGACTAGTTAAAACAAACAAACTGCCACGTTTTAACAGTTAAACTAAATTATCCAGCAGAGATTTGACTCAAGAATATCTCTACTCGACTGAATACATAAACAGAGCCGAATCAAATAAACTATTCGTTGGTGAATCACATGATATAAAGATATCACATTTTGTACACATGCACGAAAGTTTGGTAGAGTGACACGAAAGCACGGCGTACCCAGCAGAAGCAGTTTGAGCTCGCGTCGAGCGTCTTTCTTGTCGCGGCGCAGCTGCCGCTCGATCTCATCGTTGATCCGTCGCGCTTCTTTCGCCTCCTCGCTGAGGCAGCACGCCATGATGGTGTCCGGCGTCATGATTCTCCGCGACGATTTACAATTCGGAGCTTTTCAGCAATTCCATCGAAAGAACGTCAGTTCCAACTCAAATGCAGGCGTTTAGATAAAGCGTTTCCCTGCAGCGCGTTGAGGAAAGAATCCAAATCATAAACCGATCATTTGTACACTAATATTTCTGCAGCGGTTGGAAAAATGTTACAGCATTCGACATGTAATCCTGATGCGGTTTAACGGTTTTATATCACTCAGGAAAGCAACAGATCCTTTGGATTTAATAACTCCATTACAGACTGTTTTATATTTGGCGTTCAATATTGAAAGTCAATACAACACAGTAGTTCCTCTTTAGACCGTACTAAAGTCCCCTGTCCGTGAACTAGTGGTTGGGAATATTTGCATGAATGGTGTTGCCCCCGTGTTAAAGTCTCCACTCCGGGCGTGGTATCGCTGCATATGGCCGAATTATTCCCTGGAAACCCGTTTCCCAACGAAGTGAACGCTACAGTACTCTCGTAACACCGCGAACAGGAGTGATTTTGTAAGTTAGTCTACTGAGGTCTTCACTCCTGTTGATTTAAATGCCAGTTTGAATAGACTCGAATTTGGACTCTCGGCTCATACATATGTAATTGGGTTGTCCGAATCGCGAACGAATCGTTCTTTTGAACTATTCGAACGAACCGATTTGCACGCGTGTGAGAATCAGTAGACTGTAAGAACTTTGTTAGTAAACTGAACGACGGGGACAGTTTGTGGTTCCAAAATTTGTACATTTTGTATGTAATTATACGTAATACATTGACATTATTTTGCTACAGAAGTAACGGTTAAAATGAGCAGATCAACGAGTTTTCCCTTGTTACTGTCGGTGTAATCACGGCATGCCCGTATCATGGCCTGCAAAGATGTGAAGATGTTTTGGTAGACCAGCTTGGTAAAGCTTCTCCGGTCCTCTTCCGAGTAGCCTGAGCCATGAATGATTCTTATCTGTTTAACAAAGGTGCTTTTCCCACTCTCTCCAGTTCCTGAAAGCGGAAACATGTGAAAAGTGAAGGGTTAGCAGTGGAAAATCAGATTCGTTTGAACTAATTGGTTTGTCTGGAAGGTTCTTGAATGGCAACGATTCACAGACTCACTTGGATATCACTCCAGATAAATTCCCAGTACACGTGCAGCATTTTCTGTTCATAAAGTAGACCAGTCTAATTTGAGTCCAAAAAGTGAGACTGAATACCCCTTGACAAACTGCTATGTTGGTCAGACTAGTTTTTAGACACAGTCTTAACATAGTGGCTATGTTTATGCTACTGGCCCCAGCTTTGACCAGGTAATGTAGACTAGTTAAAACAAACAAACTGCCACGTTTTAACAGTTAAACTAAATTATCCAGCAGAGATTTGACTCAAGAATATCTCTACTCGACTGAATACATAAACAGAGCCGAATCAAATAAACTATTCGTTGGTGAATCACATGATATAAAGATATCACATTTTGTACACATGCACGAAAGTTTGGTAGAGTGACACGAAAGCACGGCGTACCCAGCAGAAGCAGTTTGAGCTCGCGTCGAGCGTCTTTCTTGTCGCGGCGCAGCTGCCGCTCGATCTCATCGTTGATCCGTCGCGCTTCTTTCGCCTCCTCGCTGAGGCAGCACGCCATGATGGTGTCCGGCGTCATGATTCTCCGCGACGATTTACAATTCGGAGCTTTTCAGCAATTCCATCGAAAGAACGTCAGTTCCAACTCAAATGCAGGCGTTTAGATAAAGCGTTTCCCTGCAGCGCGTTGAGGAAAGAATCCAAATCATAAACCGATCATTTGTACACTAATATTTCTGCAGCGGTTGGAAAAATGTTACAGCATTCGACATGTAATCCTGATGCGGTTTAACGGTTTTATATCACTCAGGAAAGCAACAGATCCTTTGGATTTAATAACTCCATTACAGACTGTTTTATATTTGGCGTTCAATATTGAAAGTCAATACAACACAGTAGTTCCTCTTTAGACCGTACTAAAGTCCCCTGTCCGTGAACTAGTGGTTGGGAATATTTGCATGAATGGTGTTGCCCCCGTGTTAAAGTCTCCACTCCGGGCGTGGTATCGCTGCATATGGCCGAATTATTCCCTGGAAACCCGTTTCCCAACGAAGTGAACGCTACAGTACTCTCGTAACACCGCGAACAGGAGTGATTTTGTAAGTTAGTCTACTGAGGTCTTCACTCCTGTTGATTTAAATGCCAGTTTGAATAGACTCGAATTTGGACTCTCGGCTCATACATATGTAATTGGGTTGTCCGAATCGCGAACGAATCGTTCTTTTGAACTATTCGAACGAACCGATTTGCACGCGTGTGAGAATCAGAGAACTTTGTGAACTTTGTTAGTAAACTGAACGACGGGGACAGTTTGTGGTTCCAAAATTTGTACATTTTTATACGTAATTGGCACATACATTCATGCTCTCTGGCAATGTTCAAAGATTCAACCTTTTTGGGAAATTGTGTTGAAATATCTTGGAAGATGTTTGGGATTTAACCTTCCATTTTCATCAAGGATTTGTCTTTTAGGAGATAAATCGGAGATTCCTCAGATTAAAAATAACGAGTTTTCCCTTGTTACTGTCGGTGTAATCACGGCAGTACGACTGATACTTAGATTTTGGAAAGATATTCAATGTCCTTCACTTAAAGGGGTCATATGATACTGCTAAAAAGATTTGTGTATTGTGTATTTGGTGTAATGAAAGGTGTTTATGCGGTTTAAAGTTCAAAAAACACATTATTTACTGTACATTGTACATTATTGTTTCTCCTCTATGCCCTGCCTTTTTGAACCGCGTCGATTTTTACAAAGCTCAACGGTCTGAAAAAGCGAGGTGTGCTGTGATTGGCGGCATTTGTTGCATCCAGTGGGGACATAATTACTGATTATAATGACTTATACTGTCTTTTTAAGCGTTGCGTTGCATTGCATCGCGCCGCGTAAACATAAAACTCTGTCTGCATGATCGGAGAAATGACAAACTACAAGTGCTACTCCACACTGCCCAAACTCGCGTTTGAATCATCAATTGGCAAATGTTTAAATGAAAACTCATCCTTTGAAGTGTGACTTGATTATCCTGTTGTGCATTTAAGTGTAATTTCTATAATTATTATTATTATTTATGATAATTACTTTTGTTTGTTTTGTTTTGTATACAGTGTATTTATTTATTTATTTTTGTACTGGTATGTTTTGTTATGTATAAAGAAAACCAATAAAAACTTCATTTAAAAAAAAAATAAAAAATGAGCAGATCAACTTAATCTGGTGTGATTCAAATGAATCGGTGTTTGAATTCGACTCAAAGCATCGTCCAAACCAACCGACTCGGTAAAATGATTCGGACCTGCCTACTAATATGTAATGTTCATTAAAGGCGACAGCATCATCCACTCCCTGTTGTGTGACGCGCAGAATTGAGGAGGAGCAGCTGGTCAAACAGAATGAAAATTCTTCAGACTTTAAACACTGGACGAATCTTAAGCCTTTTTCATGACCTAAATTAGATTTTAGTGAACATCATGAAATATAGCTTTCTTTGACTTCAAGATCAAGTGTATTACCAAAATTACAAATACAATTCTCAAACCCTTAACGGTTGCCATGCCATTGAAATATTTGTTTTTAGTTGTTTTCATGTGCCGGTTCCAGTGTTGCACTAGTTACTCAAAGAATGTAATATATTACTAATTACTAGTTACTCCTTTCAAAAGTGATTCTTAGTCCTCCTTTCCGTTCTTTCAATCGCTTTACGTATACGTCGACATTCCATGTCCATTATTGTGAAACCACCAACACACAACAAAAACACATCTCCGATCACAGCGTCCTCCGTCCTCCTGTTGTTAATGTTGTTCTTCTTTGTTTCTGTTGTTGAACGCCGCGCACAAATGACGTCGCTGTCGACCGGCTTACGTCACTTCTTAGTACACACTCTCGGTGCGAATGCAACCCTTTAAATAGTACTGGGAAATAGTTCGCGCAAAATCGTCCCAGTACTTTAGTACTGTACATTTAGTTCTGGAACTAAAGCGGTGCGAAAGGCCCTATTGTTACTTTCTGGCAACAGTAATTAGTTACATTACTACTAGTACTTCTTCACACCCTACAGAAGTTGTAGCCTAACTGTGTATCTTCCACATAAAATTCTTCTTACTAACAACATATTTCTGCCTCACCATTTCACCAAAATCCACATTGGATCGCAGTCAGAAGTAATTACAAACACTCAATAGTGATTGATAGTGACATTCGAGTAAAAGTGTTGTATTAATCTCATTAATTGTCATGTGTAGCTTGAAGCTAATTGTAATTTCTCTGTTACCCATACATGATTATATTTCATTGTGTATTTGATCAAATCACATAAGTTTGTAAGAAACGGTTTAATTTCCAAAAAGATTTTTAATTATAGTAATATAATGTACCACATGCTGATCAGAGGGATGTGATGCCAGAGTAAATCCACAACTTGCACAACAGTGTTCATATCATCTTTTTTCCTGACAAAATCAATATAATGCAATATTTCTATCTGCTGAATGTAAGCGTTTCCATATTCCAAGCTTGCCTGCTGCACTTGGGACATCACATGCATGTGCGAGTTGTGAAAACTATGAAAATAAATCCAGAAATTATTTGATTGTTGGATTTTAAATCAGTGGGGTTGAGGCAAAAGTTATCAAAAGTAACTAAGCTGTTTTATGGATGGTAACTGTAATATTACTAAAATCTTATTAGTAATTAGTTACACTACTAGTTACTGCAAAAGGTAATATTATTACAGTAACTAAGTTACTAGTAACTGCCCAACACTAGCCGGTTCTATAAAACAAACTTATAAGAAATTATTTTAACCACTTAATGAAAAATCTGCTCTAATCAAATAATCAGATTTAAGTACCAGTGTTATTTTATTATCATTGCTATTATATAGGTTTTTGTTAATATTTTGAATAATTGTTTTTATTCATTCAAAAAAAAAATTCAGTTGAAATGTTTTTGTAATTGTGTTGTGTTTTTGTCACATTTACTATTATTTTTTTAATGTCTATATAGTTTAGTTTATTCAGTTTAGTTATTTTACACAGCATATACATGGCAACATAGCTGTTTACTTTTTATTTCAGCTAATATTTAAGTAATGAAAATGTTTTTTTTATGGTTTTATATAACCTTGACTAGTACTTGTATGCACTACAAATAAGCTAGTAGCCTTAGTCAGTCCATTCCATATTTTTCTATTAAGTGTAGTAGAATTTATAGAAACATGATTTGATAAAGTAAAATTGTGCTAAGAATGTAAAAGTAACATGACACATTTTTCTCTAAACTAGTAGACATGAAAGGAACACTCCACTATTTTTGAAAATAGGCTCATTTTCCAACTCCCCTAGAGTTAAACAGTTGAGTTTTACCGTTTTCCGCAATAATCAAGGAACTTTGCTGCAGAACCACGGGTGCAGCAGGCGCAATATTACACAGCGCCTGAAAATAGTCCCCAGCTAGGTAACATCCAGTAAGCCTATTTTCAGGCACTGCGTAATATCATTGTGCCTGCTGCACCCATGGTACGGCAGCAAAGTTCCTTGATTATTACGCTGGAATGAGAGTATAGTTCCTAGCCATATCGGCCTAGAAAATCACAAATTTTCATTTTCTGTCGGTCTTAGTACACGATGTAACTACAGACGAGTCAAGTTTTAAATAGGAAAAATATAGAAACTCTTTGGTCATTTTTGAGCGAGATGCTAACGGTCTAATCAGATTCAATGATCTATGCTAAGCTACAGCTAAAAGTGCTACCGCCAGACCCGGAGATCGGCTGAATGGATTTGAAAACGGTAAAACTCAACTGTTTAACTCTAGGGGAGTTGGAAAATTTGCCTATTTTCAAAAATAGTGGAGTGTTCCTTTAAGATGTGTATCTACTTTGTTAAGTGCACACCCCCGCTCTACAACTCTGTCACAAGACGCATACACCACATCTCATTTAACTGCATGTGTCTCTTTTGATAGACATTCATTCCAAAAGCACCACAACCAAAGCAAATGTCACAGACACGGTTTTAGTAAAAGGTGGCACAGAATTTATTTATTTATTTTTCTTTTAGATTTGCAGCACATTCTACAAAGACACTAGAGGGGACAGAGAGAAAGAATGATACGAGAACATGGAAGAGATCTGCCACATTTTTTTTTTTTTTTTTTTTTTACAGAGAAGCTTTTATTTCCCCCCCAACTGTGAAGAGAAAGGTGTCTAGAAAGATCCATTTAAAATGGTGAAAATGCTTACAAACAGATGTACAAAATAAGCGCTAGCAAGATTTAATGGATCCCAATGTCAATGGAGTACAAACGGTCAATCAATCTTCTGAAGTTTTACCAATCTGGAAATCGGGTTGAAAAAAAACTAGCACAAAAAAAAAATCCCTCAGGAATGAATCCTTTTCCCACCCTCAATACCCCCATTTTTCAAATCAAAATCATCCTTTAAATAAAACTGTACTGATATTAAAACTTTAAAGAACTGAACTGAATATTTACACTTTCCCCAAAAAGTCTCATCATGAAGATAATGGAACAATAAATTCATTGGCAAAAAAAACAACAAAAAACAACAACACTTATAAGATTACATTCTGCATGTTGCACAGATTAAGCATGCAGCTCTGGTAAGGCCAACAGCGGACTTCACAGATGGGCTCCCTCTACTTACAAAACAGTGCAATCAATAATGGAAAAATCACGTGCAGAAAGAAAAATGTTAAAGAAATAAGAGGATCCACTTGCTTTTGAGAAAACTTTTCCCTCAAATATGCTGTTTAAAAATATTGTTAGGAGAAATGTCAGGGAGCACACATCTACCCAAGAAGCAGAGGAATGTAGGCTCTGAAAACAAGTTGAAGTGAATGGGCATATGGCAGTTTGGCTTCCATCTCCACCCTCTAGAAGAACCGACCAGAGTACTGCTTCACGCTGAAAGAGGAAATGACACGGTTGAGACCAGAGACAAAACCTCATCATGCTGGGACAGTTCAGCCAGCGGCCAAGTGATTTATAATCTGGATATGCCGTTACAATAAACACCACAAAACAAACTGTATAGTATTATAATAAAGCTAATTCAAAGTATTCAAATATAGCACGAGTACATCATCTGGTTTATAATACACCGTGTAGAAAAGGTAATTAAACAAGTTGATTTACTTAGAGCATTTTAAG